TACATATACATACATACATACATACATATATATATATATATACATACATTACATATATACCGTTATGCATACATACGTATATACATTCAAACATACATACATACATACATACATACATATATATATATAGATATATAATATGCGTATTGGAGCATAACTTTGTGCTTGTGTTTGAAGGCAAGATTTAATTAAATATGCCAAAATTAATCGATATACACGTGTATACATTCATCAATTAAGATTTGGGTAGGCTTATGTGCCACGTAAAAGGCAATCTCATGCAAGTCTGTTATTGTCACACTGTCCGAGCAGTCAAAATAATCGAGTATAACATACTTTTTGCGACGTATTTGATAGCCACCTTCTTGTTAGTCCGTTTATCCTTCGCTACACGCACCGTAGAAAACCCACCCTGACCTATAACCCCGCCGACAACGAAGGAGTCCTCCAGCCTCCCCTTGGTAACCATGCGCTTCAATGCGAGCAAGTCGTTACGAGTGGGACACATGTCTGTTTGCTCACAGGGCTTTGAAGCGCCTGATCCACAGTTGGGTCCGTTCTTTTGGCGGATTCTACGATTCGTGCGTAGTTTTCTGTACATCCAGCGCAGGACCCACTTCTAGGAAATAGCGGGTGGAAATCTGTGTACAATTTTGGTGCCTGAGAGCGGCGGATCAGGCACAGTATTCTAGTAGTATTACCAGCAATATTCCTGAGCCCTAACAAGATCCATACTCCTACTATAATATATCGGCCAAAGCTTGCATTGTAAATGCCAACTCATTCGGTGAGCTCAGCCTAGCGAACACTTTTAAAAAGAGAGTGTCGTCTGTTTCGAGCATAAACTCGCCAGACGTGCAAGCATTTACAAGTATGTGATAGTGTTACGGTACATGAATTTTAAATCATACATTCATACATACCAAGATTTTTTTTTCCGAAATATACCCCAGAGGGCTCATGAGGGAAAAAAAAGTCAACTCAAAATAAAATGGTCCAATCATTTAAGGTTCCCACTATTCACCTCAGTGACCTCACAGAGATCTGATGCCATCGCCTCTCTCTAAAGTCAAAATTGCGCCATTGCTATGATTCAAAATCAACAAAGCTATAGAATTGTGAATTACTAGATATCAGAACCAAAGCTTTGTTAGGGCAAGTCTTACCATTGTCAGCCGTCAGGCGTATGACAGTCAAGTGTATTGGTTTCTTGGGCAAAATGTTAGAAGTGGTAGCTTAAAATCTTTTAATATCGATACTGATGTTACACTTAGCTTTCGCACAAATCCGAATAAAAGCCCCTCGTGTACTTAACACCTCACTAATTTTTTAATAATCTTGCAGCCTTATATATCAGATATCAGCTAAGTCCTTATCATTGCGAAGATTGGAAGGGCTCCTCCCCGTTCTCATTCACCCTACTTCTTAACAACTCTACTCGGGCTGGCTCTGCCGTGTTTATCATATATTCTATATTTCTTTTAGTTGCATACCGCATATCACGCTCTCAGCTCCGCAGTTGCGGCCTCTGCTGTGTTTATCATATATTCTATATTTCTTTTAGTTGCATACCGCATATCACGCTCTCAGCTCCACAGTTGCGGCCTCTGCTGTGTTTATCATATATTCTATATTTCTTTTAGTTGCATACCGCATATCACGCTCTCAGCTCCACAGTTGCGGCCTCGGCGCGAGCTCTAGCCCTGGCCTCCCGTTTAGCCTTAGCTAAACCAACTTTCTCCAGTCTGCGACACTTTGGGCACGCGTCAGCATCGAAGCAGTGGGTGTGTGCGAGTGAGTGGCACTTTGAACAAGCGGTGGTTTCCGCTAGGTGGAATGGGTATATAATATCCTCCGACCTGCAGAACTCACAGTAACTCCCCTTTTGTGAGCAGAGATCGCATGCCAGCACGTGTTTTTCACACCACTGCGACAGTTGATGCAGTAGCGTATCCAATTGTAGGTGATTAGCGAGCACCAAATCATTGAGCGAATACAACTGCTTGGGATCGACCAGATGCAGCTGCAAAGGCCCCACTTTGCGCAGGATTTTGCTGGCATTCTCCACGCGGCACGTCAGCACAAAGTCGATCACCGCACACAACCTCTGTCGCAGCTCCGCCGCCCGTTTCAGCTCGGGCACGTGGAATGTCAGGAAAGGGTTCACCTGTGCCAGATCAATGATGGGCAACTCGCGTATGAAGTTCAGCGTGGGAACGGCATGCGCCGATACTGTGTACAGGCGACAGTCCCAGTTCATGAGCACGCGGGCCGGTATGATATGTTTATCAGTACTCATGCATGGCTTACAGTAGTACAACCCTGTGAGATTGCACACCCAAGGCTGGTTGGTAGTACCTGGGCCTAGCCCTCGCGAGCAGCCTGTGCCCGCACATACATAGTCTTGCACCGCCAAGCCCCGTTCGCACCCAAATTCAGTCATGTACCTGGCCGTAAGCTCTGCCGTGATACCCGCAGGAACCACCTGTCCGTCTTGAACAGAGCTCAAAGGTATGATGTCGAACCCCACAATTCCCGATAATGATGTGCGCCTGCGATCGCCTTTGGTACCCCGTGGCTGATACCTCACGCCCGATGAGTGTGCACTTCCTACAGATGGTACAAGCGACACACGACGCAATGGATACCCCACAGCATCGACCGTCCTGCGCCGGCTGATATCGTGCGCAGTTCCTGGCAGTATTGGATCAGATGCTTGTGAGCTAGCAGTCCGCACAGATGTCAGAGCGGCGCTGCTTTGTTCGTCTGTGCGTAGCTGTTGCGAGTGTGCCTCCAGTGGTTGCGGCTCAGATGCCAGACGACTGATGGCCGCGATAAGCATGGGCGATACCAGCACGTTCTGCAGGTGCACCGTGCACTTCTCCTCCTGCGTGACCAGACTGTACAAGGCCTGTATTGACAGGTGTGCGCGTGGATAGGGGTGTGCATACATCTGCGACCCCCCCATAGCCATACCTAGGCCCATACCCTCAACCCCATGGAGGCCATCGCTGTCCGGAGTCCCCGATAGCCTGGGAAAGGTCGCGAGTGCATCGTTGATCTCATTTATCGAGTTAACATTGGAGGTGTTCACGCGACTTGGGAAGATCGGGATGGTGAACACATTGTCCGTGCTTGGCGATTGCAACGGTGTGACATCGCTGTCGCTATCACTTGGAATAGCAGGTAGGGCCGGTTCCTGCTGCCCACCCTCTATCCTCGATTTTTGTGTGCCTTTAGCATCTGATAGAACCGCTCCCATATACACATTTCCAGGACAGTCGGAGAGCTCTTTATCATCCTCACGGGTGTCTGGCTGCTTGCGTTCAGTTCCCGAGTCACATATTTGAGGCTCTAAGCCTGGTGACATTCTAACGTCTTCCTTCGCTCTCCTATTCGTGGCTCGTGTCAGCAAGCGATCAACCATAGCACCTGCACCGTATGTGACATCCACCCCTGCACCCACACCCTTCTCTAAATTTATATTTGCGTATATATTGTTAATATCTGCATATGTATTGTTGTCGGCGTCGGTCGAACCTATATCGGCATCCGGGCTATTCCGCTTGTTTTTAGTGGGGCGCTTATAAGCCAAACTCCGCAGATGCAAGTCCACGATGCTGTCGTTATCGTTAGTGTCTGCTATGGCTGTAAGCACAGTCGAGTCAGTCAGTGATGGGTTGCTTTTGATCCTTTTCGCCGTATAATCCCGGGTTCTAGCAGCAATATCCGATTGCTGGGTAGAATCACCTTTCTGTTCTTTGTCTCGTCGGCTATCCAAAATCGTACTATTCCTCATACTCGTTTCCGCACCGTCACCCTTTTCGCTCCTGGTGCCCGTGTAGCTTGGCTCCAGTTTCGCACGACTGCTGCGGTGTGACCTGGACGATTTGCGAGAGCGTGAATGTCTGCTACTGCTCGACCGGATGGATACATTGTCTTCCATGCCAGCCGACGGAAGGGCAAAGGTAGGCCCGGAGAAATCCCTATGTTTCTTCCGGGGAGTATTATCTTTGTGGTACTTTATCTTTGCGGCTGGTGCGTTCTCCTGTGCGAGTGCTTGTGTAGGATAAATTGTGAATCTGAGATCAAGTAGGGGCTGTAGAAACCGGATTAAGTCTTGCAAAAACTCCACATTCCGCATGTAGCCATCCGATTCATAGTGGGTTTCTGCTTCACTTTGGTTGGTCAGCACGGTGTTGAGAAACCCTATGAATGAGCATTCGTTCAAGGACTGCCGTAACCACGCTTTACACTTGTCGCTCTCTTCATCCACGCCTGCATTTGATTTCAGCCATGTAATGCAAATAAATGTGCTTAGAGGATCCCATAAAGTGCGCATAAACAAAATCGATCACTAGATTGACAATGAATCAGAACGGAGAGATCTTCGACAACGTTCTCTGAAGTTGTGGTCTTGAGGCAGAGAGACGCGCAATGATACACAAATATACACATAGCACAATTGAAGGTCTTGATATTGTTAGGCATGAGCCATTGGCCAAAAATATGCGCACCTACTATAGCAGATAAAAGCGTTGGACAATATAATCACCTTTGATACTACAAAATCACACTGGCCATAACAAGAGACTTCGAATACGGATGAACAAAAGACTAAGAATGAGCGTACTGGTATCAGCGATAATCTAGTGATGTGATATTCGCAGTAGTTGGGTAGTCGAATGCCAAGTATTGAAATCATCATATTGCATTTATTCCCAGCCTTTGGTATGTACATCGATCTCTTGTATCCATGAGAACAATGTCAATCCAAAGAAGAAATAAAACATGAAGAATGTGAACTATACTCGCAAAACAATATAGGCGTACGAGAAAAAGCCTTTGGGAGATACATTGCCCGTAATCTGGCAGATGTTTGTTCATATAAAGCAGATGTAGAATTTGGTCGTAGAAATTGGAAATAAGTCTGCTCACTTGAGGATAGACACAGAAAGTCTCACACACACACACACATATATATATATATATACATACACACACACACATATATATATATATATATATAATATGCATGATACATACATACATACATACATACATAAATACATATAATGCAGGCAGACACACACATATACATACATACACACACACACACACACATATATATATATACATATGTATGTATACATACATACGTATATCGACCTACACACCCACATACACCCATATATATATATATATATATATATAAAGGTATAGACATATCATTAAAGATATAGATTTAGAAATATATCTATATATATATATATAAATGCGTGTGTGTGTGTAAATATATAAGCATACACACACACACATATATATATATATATATGTATATATATATATATATAAGTATATACGTACATACATACATACATACATACATACATGTACACATACATACATACATAGAATATATATATAAATATATATATATGTATAAAAATATTTTTCGATATTTAACTACATAGCAAAAAGATCAATGTTGACCTCGTCTATACTCATGGCAAGTGCATGTCCCTAAAATTGTAGGTCTCCAAATACGGGGCTACCATGCTACTTAGTGCACCAGATTGATATAAAACTGTCTTATGGTAATGTACAACACATGAAGACCCGCGGATGGCAGCAGCTACGCCGTTAGTAACTGGAACATACATTGTGTAGGACAGTCAGATAGAAAATGTATTCCTACATACTAAGGGAACAAGGACATTTGCAAGAGCACTTTTTCTAACAAAATATAATCATACGCAGAAATAAAGAAAGCCTAGAATAAATGCCTCAAGTAATTTTACATTTTAGACATTTATGATCCGCATCTGGCACATGACCGAAATTTGACTTGCTTCAGGTAATTGAAGCCACATTCCCTGATATATTGAGAGCTCCCGAAGGCCGAAATACAACTCATGGCAGAGCTCCTCCAACAAAAGATTTGTGGATTGTTAAAAAGAAAAGTTGAGTATGAAATACTCTAATAAATCGTTACGAACCAAACATAGTTATTTGTTGGCAGTTGCACAGGCACGATACTTCATATGTATGACAACCCCACACGCAAAACCCATGTTTTACCGAATACAAACTACTGAGCTGCAATGTTTTGGTGACTTACCTCGCATATCATTCACCAGTTTGATAGCGACATCATCTAACAATGCACTTATGAATGGCCAGGCAGTAGCACCGTTGTGCGCCCAGCGACTACGCACGCCGTTGTTCAGCACTACTAGAAGCTCATCACAAAGCGAGATTGCGTCTTGGTTGAAGTGTGTCACCGTACTCGAGTCTCTCCGTTCACAGTCTTCTACGATTTCACCCACTAACCTTTTTACAGACAATAAAGGAGAATCTGCGCCCGCGATTGAAGGGGCACTCATGATGATACACACCGGGGAGATGATTGAATGTACAGAGTATCTCATCCAAGCACGATAGCTATAGATAAGTAGTGGATATGGTAAAAAAGAGAGATCACATTTGGACAAAACTGACAACCGAAAAAGTCATAGCCTTCTAAAAAATAGACAAAAAAAGTGAAATTTATATTTTTAAAATAGTACCGAAGATTTCCATCAATTTATCGGTTTTGATATGAGAAACCAATAAGATTGGAAAACGCTATTATTTATAAATAGACTTAATACGGTGATCATCTCATCATGTTTTACGATTTCTCAACCTGAATCCAAATTATCAAATTCGGACTTCCCTTTTGAAGCGCAAATATCCGTTTTTGTTTTTTTCGGGATGGTTTAGTAGAGCGCCTCTCTGAGACATGTGCAGTACTGAGACTCATTTGTCGTGAAAGTATGATTTGTAAATATACCTAGCATAGCCTCCTAAATTGTACAACATAGCCTGTTTCCAAAATAAAAAATTTAGCTCGATTGTCATCAACAATTCCAACCAACATATTCCAAAGTGACCACTACCCCAGCTATCAGTCATCCTAAAGACCTAAATTGTATCAGAAAATGGAGTATTTATTTACTATGTATTTACTACTCTAATACATAAATGCTCTATTTAGGTCTGTTTCTCTGTGAGAGTTCCAGAAGTCCAGGTCTCCAGTCCTCCCCTCTCCCCTCTCCACTCTCCACTCTCCACCCCAAAGTCTCCACACTCAAGCCTCCCAGGTCCAGGACTCCAAGGACCAGAACGCCATCACACACGACAAAGGCTTCTGACTTGGTGTTGCAAAAATTGATGATGCAGCATTTCTGTCAATCACGAATTCTCTGTGGAGGATGGGCTATTCCATTCTTCACTGTATTCCAATCAGATGGGGTAAAGAAAGCAAGGGATCAAGCCTACACAGACTTTTTTTTCTTGCAAATACTACTACAAATACATAGTCGTAAAAATCTAAATATATATTATATATACATGTATAAATATATCGTGCATCGTACCCCTCTGCACGACATTTTATAGCGCACTATCAAAAATCTGACGTTGGGCTGTCTATTACGTACCTGTGCTGTAAGCATAAAACTTGAACTACATTGTGTGCTGCTTCAAAGATAAACGATTACTTCATACTTTATTCGATGAACAATTTGGCATCTGATATTAATCGAGCACGCGATCTGACTGCTGATTGATATCACCCTAGTCTGGACTCCATCCTGTATGCTTCATCTGCACCGACCAGTCCAAATTTTGGATCAAGATTTACACACAGTATATGCAACAATACAATCTGTAGCATACGATCTGTTAACTCTCGGATTAATTATTATACTGAGCTTATAACACGATCGCACGGGCCACCATACCGACATCGCACTCAGACTTATCGGTGGAGCCTTTTGCGATTATTTCCATAGTCGATTACGTTCAGCGTATCGTTTTAACAATTTAAAGTGCACTTAGAATTGTTTTTTTAGAAGACTATCTTACACTTTCTTAGACCATCAGCAGTCACCTTACGAACTCAAGATGGGGATGTACGATCTACGTTACCTGTCGAACAAACAGGTGTACGTCTGTAAGAACTGTCAAACGCATCTCTCCAGTCCCGACGATATCATCTCCAAGGTAAGGAGGTATTCCATTTCGCATCTTTCTGTTGATCATGGTTATTTTGAACACTTTAGGGCCACTTTCATGTTCGAATTTGAATTCAAAGGATACTTGATCTGATTTTTCTTTACTCTTGTATTTTCACAGTCCTTCCAGGGTGCCTATGGACGCGCGTTCCTCTTCAACGCTGTGTAAGTGTATTTTTGGCTTTTGTATGAACGGATACAGAGATTCAGACCATACAAACAGCCGGCTTTATAATCTTTTATGTTTCGAAAATTGCGAATGTCTTGAAGGTTGTGTCTATTTAAAAAAATTCCATAAGTCCGCATGTTCGAGGTAGTAAATATTGCTTTGGAGAGTTCCTTGTGTTCGAGCACAGTCGCTGGATACAGTTTGAAAAGCGAGCTCATGAATCCATGTATAAATATTAAGCTCGACATACATGATGATAACGTATTGTTGATCCTATCATACAGTGTCAACCTGTGTGAGACTGGAGAGCCCGAGGATCGCAATATGGTATGTGGAGCATTGTGTGATCCTCATTGCCTTCTGCCAGTTTTTTCTTCATTTCATATGGCAGTGAAACATCCGTTTGATTCCTATAACCATGATCATGTTTGATACTTACTTCTGCGCAGACTACTGGACGTCACACGGTCGTCGACGTTATGTGCAAGAAGTGCGAGACTGTGCTAGGCTGGAAATATGTAAGTAGCACAGCAATGTGGAACCGAAGACACAGGAGTCAACTTGGCTTATCATTTTCTTGTATATTTTAATTGAATCTCGTGTCTGCCTCAAAGTTTCTCATATGTCTTGATCATTTACTACCTTGTCTTTTCAACTATAGAAGAAAGCTCACGAAGCTTCCCAGAAGTACAAGGAAGGCAAGTACATCCTGGAACAGAATCTCATCCAGACAGAACGGGAGGCGCTGGCGTTGCCCCTCTCTCCGTCAAATTCACCCCCATCTGAGCGAGCACGCCGCCAAATTCCAACTCGAAGACGACCACATGATTTACTAACCACGACGATATAAGCGTGAAACAAGCTTGACGAAAATCGCCCCGGACTAGTATCGGGCAGCATAGGTTGCGGTTAGATTGCAATGCCTGCGTACCATTGTGTATATGTAGGTATCCTTGTGCGACAAAAGACCTGTTCGTGTCAGACGGAAAACTGTCGACACGCTGGCCCCTTCAATTGACTATAAAAAAAAGCCCGAAGATGCACTTGTGGATTTGATTTCATGAACAAAATTCACGAATAATACAACGCTTGGCTTTCGACCAAGACCGTTGTATCGTACGCATCATGTAAATATAATTCGAGAATCATTTAACACTGCTTAATGTACTTTTATTCTGCTTGCTAGATGCATCCAATCCAGCTACAAAGGTTCCGCTGCTGGCGATTAAATACTGCTACTGAGCCATTCAAAAGACTACCAGCTTCAACGGTGATGTGGCAATAATACTACCGGTTGGAGCTACATAAAAGATCGCGAGATGGTGAGTGAGGCCCAGGTGTGATTCTGAAAGAAAAGAAAAATACAATTAAGGCGAGGCCCCGATCGTAAACGATCTCGAGACTTGCACGACGCGGTGAGCAATACAACGAGATGGCCGACTTCTTGTAGTTCATATGTCGCGTCTATAATACGAGGTCGCTATGGTAGTTTAAATATATAGGCATTTTCACACACACACATATAATAATAATAATATATATATCCTGGCCCAGACAGCAAGATATAAAGTCAAACCTATGTGGTAATACTAACGAGCTCCACCAATACCGTCAAAGTATGATAACGAGCAAAGGTTTGCCAATAATAATTGCTGATATCTCCAAAAATAGATAGACGCTGAAGACCTCGAAGGCGAGCAATCGTGAAACAGAAGTCGACGGGAATCAATCTCGTTTAGAAATCAGTGTAAAAATCGCTACACTGATTACTCTGAGTATTGCTTTTGTGTAGTTCTTTCAACATACGAACAGGCAGCCATATTCAACTTCAATACCAAAAGCCGAAATATTCACATCTACAAACATGTATTTGATGCGCGCTCTTCGCATAGGCGCCGAAGTATCAAACCATGGATATACAAACATTTACGCTCGCACGCTATACACCACACACAAAGTATTTCGGTACACCAGCGGGTTTTTGTTCATCACACCGCTGAATATAGAACCACATTCTCGAGGTCATCAGCACCATACTCTTCATATAATTGGGATCAGCATTTAATTATAGATACACAATCATTCAATGTATATCACATTGCAATTCCGCGTTTATAGTATAATCGAGTCTTCGTGCTTATTTCTGGATATACTAACACTCAATATACACCCAGTGTATATTCGCACCTATCATACAATCGGGTCACACTAAATTGATTGTACATCCGCGTTCATCATATCATCGGGTCTCAATATTTAGCTGGATACACGAAACACTACACATCGTATATCCGCAACTGTCATGTAGTCAAGCTTCAGTACTGAATAAAGGATTTATAATCACTCAATTCACAGACATAATACCATATACTCCGGCCTCATTATTAAATTAATGATATCCAGCATTTAATGTATACACAGACATATACATACAATTTTTACATACTACTATAAACCCGATGTTCAAATTACAACTTTATGGTACCCTCGCTCGCTTATAGCAAACACGGTAAGTTTTTTATGAGTAAACCATACAGATAGATACAATAACAATAAATTCGTAATTACTAACGTTGCGTATATCATATATTGCACTCGCAACTACTAACGTTGCATATATCATACAATACACCATAAGATCTAATGGCAAATTCCCAAACACGCATATATTGCACACGTATTATCTAACCACACACATTCTTGGCCCAGTAAACAAAGAAAGGTAACAAGTATATATTGATCTACTGACCAGCTCCACTTTGATTGCTCTAGTTAGATTCAGTTTTACATACAACCAAAATGTACCATCAAATACTACTGTACCAACATAGACGTTACAATCTTCAGGCAAATAAAATTCTGCAACTGCACCTCAAGCCTATAGTTATAAATGTTACATCATTATACAAACATACCTACAAAAATTTATACCAGACTATGGCGCATACTTCCGCTTCTGGTAATATTTTGCTATATTACGCAACACGCTGCCCAGTTATTCACCATGCCACGTTCGCTAATTCCATGCAGTCTATTAGCTCCAATTTTTCTTTACGGTCAACCTTTTCAGCAATAACGCCGAACAAAGCCATCGTTATAGACAACACATCATACGCTCGGTAGTGTATACATGCATATCAGTTACAAACCATGGAACGTTGTTCTTGGTGGGACAACGATCTGCTCCGATTGAGACTTTTGAACATGAATAGAACTATATATACTGTCAATAGCACTTCAACTTGTATTGTAAGATAGGCACCTGTTTAATAGTTATGTATAGATCAAACGCCTACCACGCCTCACAAGTCGATTAGTCCTGGAGAAGCGCGTGTTATCAGTCGTTGCTAGCCAGTATCCTTCTTCAACTGATTACTTACCGTTATACTTATAGGGTAATCTTGTTCAGGGCTGCATGCATGTATGGTAGAAATAATAGTGAATTCCGTCAGAAAAAAATTACCAGCAAGATGGCCAAAACTAGACAGCCACACTGCAAAATACTATCAATTGTGCAATATTAAAGGAAAGACGGTGTGATATCGAGAATACAAATTTCCTCGTGCACTTCAACATAACTAAAACAATCTACGATATACGAAAGATCAGTATCATGTAAACCCCAATTGATTGCAAAATAAATATGTTATTCTACATATACAATTGACATATAAAACTAGCCACAGTAGCATCCACGCATACCTGGGGGCAGAGAAGACTCCAGCTTTTGTGCTTTATCCTGATCGGTTACAACCAAGGTATATAAGTACTTGGAGCAGCGGACCTTGAACTTGGTGTTATCCTTGTTCTTCTTGATCTTTATGGAGGAAGCATCCTTGCGACGCACGGTCACGAGGAACTCCTTGATCTCAGTGATCTGTCTAGGCTGCATGATAACAATAGGTATATGGGTATGTGAGAATCCAATTGAGCGCATGTTCAAAGTCATTCTCGTCTCATCGCACAGGCTGAAACACTATATCCTACAAAAAGCCGTGTGGTTCAACGCATTGGTGACAGCTAACTGGTTTTATCCATGTTTATCCGTAATATACTGAAGGATGCTGTGTATGCTGCTTACATTTTGCGCTTAACTGTATGAAAATACCTGCCGCGGATTATCTATATTACAAAATATCTTCCATAGCTGCACATTTATATTGTCACCCATATTGTCTCCAGACATGGATGTGGTTGTTGTGTCAGTGAGATTCATATTTTGTTGTTTACGCTTCGTTGTTGGATATTATTTTGACCTCTTATCGAATATTACGTCCCATGGCTGTCTACGATCCAGTATATTTATGTCTGTCGGTGATGTACTTCACTGCCTCATCCGTCTGTTATGCAGTACCTCCAACGTTACTATGAATTTCGCCTTTACAAATAATTTTACTATCACTCCCTCTAGCAAGTATATATCACTTATATCACTCCTACGTACTTCTCACTCATTGTCATACTTACCATCTTCAAACAGTAACTACAAAGGTGAGAAAGGATAGCTAGTTTGCGAATATGTTCGAAGTTATACTAAACTGACCCCATTCCCGTGTGCGTGAACTTGCGAGTTCCAATCAGTGACCCAGGGGAGTAGGTACTACCCAAAAAACGGGACAATTTTGATATTTCTTTATTTTTTTAGAAATAATAGTATAGTTGTCCGCAAAGTGCACGTGGCGCCATTTTTTGGGAAAAAAGACATATGTAGCCTTACAAAGAGAACAAGAACGTAAATATGCGCAAAGGCCCAGGGAACTTAGGAAGTGTTTTTTAAATCTCGTAAAAAGTAAATATGTTTTACAGCACCAAAAATAATCGCCAAATACCTTAGTGTATTTCGTTACTACAAACCGATTAGAACCTCACGAGAGAAAGTGTGAGATTCAATCCAATAGAAAGACGTCTATTATTATTTTTGTGTCCTGTTTTCTTGGAGAAAAGTCAACAGACAGCAGTGTGTAACTGTGTATTTATATTTACTGTGAAGTGTGTCGCGGGTCTTTTGACTTGCAACATAAGTTGTGGAATTGTCGCTTTTTAAGACCGTCCAACCTCGCTCTTGTTGTGCTCTGGGGCTATTATGACAATGAGAGAGGAGTAGAACATATTTACACATATATCCACAAAATAAAATAAAAATATAAGAGTCAAGTGTCCACAGTAGGCTTCCAATAGTGCGCTGAGTGACGCCAGATTTTAGCCAAGCACACATCATACATACATTGTGAACCTGACTACTAATCGCATATCATATTTGCCGCATTAAAATGGGAACAAAGAGTAGATCCCGCAGTCCCGCCGGCGACGTTGCCATGATACATCCCTCACGTCGCATGCTAGTCAAGCCAGTACAGCCAATACAACCAGCCACACGCCGATCACCTACACCCAAACGTCGCTCTCCCTCCCCCAAACGTCGCTCTCCCTCCCCCAAAAAGTCACCACGACGTCGATCTATCTCACCACGACGTCGACCCTCTGCCTCGAAAAGTAAAGCCAGATCACGTTCACGCTCACGGTCGGTATCACCAGACACCAAACCAAGAGGGCGAGAATCACGATCACCATCCCGAAATAAGAAAAAGAATCACTCCAAGTCAAGATCATGGTCGCGTTCGCGTGACAGTGTAGCCAACGGGTCCAGCACATACAGAAGCAGAAAGCATCACGCGCGGTCACATTCACGCTCACGTTCACGATCGCGTACACCCGTTCGTAGTAAAGTGCGTAATGGGTCGCCGACGGCAACGAAACGCGATAGCAGGCGATCGAGGAGTCCTGTGCGCGCAGATAGAGGACGCACAGATACGCAAACGGGTGCTAGTAAGGGTAGATTCACTGCAAATGAACGCAGGACCGGGGCTGACGCAAATAACAGAGGGTTTAGAGGCGCCGAGAGGGGTGGTAGGTTCAATAGCGGCCGGGCAAATGCCAGAGATAACAGAGATCGTCGAGGAGGTGCTGCGGTGGGAAATAAAGAGGCCTACAGACCGCCTGCTGCTGATACCACTGTAGTGACTAAATTGAAAGACTTGCCTGAAATAGACCGGGAGAAGACTTGTCCATTGTTGTTACGGTTATTCTGTTGTGTGGGGGAGCATCACAACTTGAAGGAGTATGCAGCTGGTAAAGTGCCAGCGGATGAACTCATGGTACATACGTGGCTAAACGCAACGTTTAAGGAACTAACTATGCTGATTAAGGGGGCTATTGACGAGGCAAAACCAAAAGGTAAATGTACGAGAATCAAAGTAGCTAGATATAGTATACTCTTACGTACAAGTATACGATAGATACACATATACACGCGAACATACAGACGGTATATATATATATATATATATATATATATATATATATATATAGTGTGTACCCGTACACGTGTGTGTGTGTGTGTTTGTGTGCTGTATGCCTGAAAAGTGTGAATGTATGTATGTTTGTGTGTATTTATATATCTATACCTATATATATATTTTTATATGTTTATATATATATATGTGTGTGTGTACACGTGTGTGTGTGCGTATGGGCACGGTGTTTGTGTATGTATATGTATATATATATATGGGTGTGTGAGTGTGTGGGTGTTTGCGTGTGTGTATGCCTGAAAGGTGTGTATGTTTGTACGTTTGTGTGTACCTATATATATATATATATTTATATATATATATAATATGTGTGTATGGGTATAGGTACGGGCACGGTGTTTGTGTATGTATATGTTTATATATATATATATATATACATATACGGATAGATAGTGATATATTCCATCACTGCGTAGCGATGTGCGTGTATTAATTCAATCACTTGTGCTCGATTGAAGTATATCTTAAGGAATCGATTGTTTAGAAATGCTGAGCTTGTTTGTAAGAGGTTATATCTGGGGTATTCATCAGTTGTCGTTGTTTTCCCTTTAATTCGGTGGCGTCGAGATCATCTAAGCTTGTATGTTTCCCCAGCAACTATCAATTGCAGCATACCATCGTTGGTTTATCTAATCATCGATCCTACATACGTTCTTTTGGGTCATTTTCGTACCTGCTATAAATTCGCCACATGTGTTTGGGAGCTATCAACGGGCCTGTGATTTTTTAACGATGCCATCATATTCCGTTCAATATTGTGTAAATAATCGCAAACGCCTGTTTCTATGAAAAATTGAATCATGACGAAAAACGTACAAATTATTGAAGTGTATTTTGCGCACATTTTGTGGATAGGTACACGCATGGTGTTCTCCGCCGTCTACCCTACACCCAGTGGACAAATGGTGATGAAAGAAATCGGGGAGTTGACCACAGGTCGCAAGGGCGAGCGTGACATGGCTGCACTGGGACAGACACGCTTTAAGATAGGCGACTATCTGGATGTAAGTCCATGAGCACGTGCGTAGCCATGTATATCACGGGTCTGTGGTTGTAGAGGCGTGCTACACACACATTTATGTATATATATATGTTTATATAAATATGTGTGCGTGTATATATATATATAGATAGATAGATAGATAGATATAATTATAGATATAGATATAGATGTAAGGAACTTCTGCGTATTAATTTAGTCGATATTATAGATATATCACCTGATACTATCCCCTATATTCATCCACCACTACTTACAGGTTGCGATTCACCCGCCGGCAGTGCGAGGACGAGGTGGGGGTTCCTTGTATGGACGCTATTGATCTGCTGACCGGCCTACACGCATTGTAAATGACAGCTAGTGATTCCGTATGCCAAAACGACCAATTGTCAACGAGAGAAATAAATATGGAGCAAAGCTTCCTTAATTGAACATACGGAGTTTAAAAATGTTTTGGCGGTATCGCAACAGACAGTACGAAAACAATCATTATGCAGAACTTAGTAGATAATTGATTCATTTTCAAGTATTGCTCATGGGTTTTAATTGTTATTGTGCATCGGAGGTTTGTAATCGCACTCTTACTCACGCGGGTTACACTACGGCGGTCATGTGAAAAAATTCACCGGATGTATCTGTTCGCTTGCAAGTTGATGTATACAACTACACAAGATGTAGTTGTGGTCCTTGAGTACATTCACGTAGGATTATTGTTTTTTTTCTCGTCTATTTGCGTTTAGTAAATGCCTCTGAAAGTAGGACTAGTTCGTTTTGTACACCTCTTGTGCACGGCCAGCACCACATTGACCATTTTTAAGGCAACAACTGTTTTTTTGTTCTTCGCAAGTTGTTCATTATACTCGAATGACGTATTTCTGTACCTACTAGGATTACCAAGGAAGACAGAGTTTATCCAAAGCTGTTTTTAAAATAAGAATTCTACATCATATCCGACGGCATAGAATGCCACAGAGAATAGCTTCATGAGGTCGGAGGTCAGATCGAGGAAAGAGGAGTACCACTGGACCAGTAAAACATTCGAACAACAAAAAACTAAAAATATAGTAAAATCTAAATTCACGACGTCTAAAATTATTGGAATAATTTTTGTATAAAACTAAAAGTAAGACATTATTGTACCCCTATTGATTTTGATTGGCGATCCAAATTAATAAGCCAATCACTACGAAACTGTATATTTGCGAATGGGTGTTGCCGCGATACTCCAGCTTAAAAAAATATTAGCACCAGTGCATTTGAAGCGCTAAAGTCTGAACCTTTTATCAGAACGATCAGCACACTCCAAAGTACCATATAGTCCTGATAAGTAAAATTAAAATAACATCGCGTAAATTGACGAGATATAATTTTTGAAAAGTGTCCTATATACGATTAACAAGTACTACCTGATGTCACCGTAGGTGCTGAAGCTTGCTGTTTGTCCCTAATTTTCTTTACATATAAAACACGCACATTGCGAGATTGAAGTTTACTTTATGTTTCATGAGTTGACGAGTAAGGTAAACACAGGCCTGTCGATCGATCGCAAGTACTACTCTACGCGCCAAGTCTCACAAGCATATTCTAGCCTGAAATTATACAGTCGCATACCGGTTCATTAATAGAATACATTGATAAATCAACAGTAGCTCTCTCACACCATGTCGTCTAGACCGATTAGGAAACGCGCTGAGACGCATCAAGCAAACAAGATCCTGTTGGACTACAATGTAGGCAGAACCATCGGTGAAGGAGGCTTCGCCAAAGTGAAACTTGCACGCCACAAGCATACCGGTGAAGCGATTGCAATCAAGATAGTCGATAAAACAGCTTTATCTAAGGTGGATGTAGATCGATTGACGCGTGAGGTGGCTGCGTTGCGCACCCTCACACACCAGAATATCTGCCAGTTGTACGAGGTTTACGACTGTGGTGACAAGCTTTACATGCTTATGGAGGTATGTTCATGTAGATATCAGTGTGTACTCGAATGAGACTCGGAAATATTTTGCTCATGATTGCGTACGTATCACATATATACGCGTGTAACCGCCTCATATGTACTGTCGCAAGTACAACTAGACTAAGTTTCACGGCATAAACATGTATTGCTATCATGTACTTCAAACAACAATGTCCGCAGCATACGTAAATCAAATACAATCACTGCTATCTCACAGATTATATCGAATGTTTGTCGAATATGACCATCTATTCTTGATTACCTATCTTCTGACCTTGTTGTTTACTCATAGTTGTCAGCTTCCTTGTAAATTCAATTAACAATGGCAGTGCAGTTTTCGATTGATGGCATGGTGATTGAAGTACTTTATTGTCAAGTCTTCGAAAACAACAACGATCTTTATCTTACCTGCATAATATGCGTCAACTTTGTTGTCTTGCCATTTATTCGAGCAAAATAATTTTGAATTTATGCTTGTACATATCCGTCTCCCAAAGACAGGACAGTTCAATCATATATATTCAATGCACAAGTTCTTATAATCTCCTAAAACTTGCACCTTTACAGTACGCGCCGGGCGGCGAGTTATTCGATTACATTGTGCAAAAGCAGCGCCTCAAGGAGCACGAGGCCCGCAAATTTTTACGAGAGATTGCGGCTGCAGTTGCCTTCTGTCATCAGAACAACTTTGTACACAGAGATCTAAAACCAGAAAATCTTTTGCTAGATGCCAACAAGAGTGTCAAGCTGGTAAGTGATCTGGTTTGAAGTCATTCGTAAACTATTGCGCAACATAATGTCTTCAATGCTATGCCTGATTTTAAACGATTTCATGCGCCCGTGGGTTTCTTTCAACGGATTGACACACAAAAAAACGGTATCGATAGTATAATAATATCCGATCACGGTATAGACGAAAAATAATATTGTATGCCACTACACTTATCAACGTTTTTTATATCTTGATCGGCGAAGTATTCTGCATATGTACAGGAGGCAAATTTGCAAAACATCATCCTGAATTGCTGCTGTTTCATTTAAAGATCTCCAACATAGTGAATTGTATATATACACAAATGCATACATTAATATTCACTGCATTCCGCACAGATCGATTTTGGGCTCGTATCAAACCCTGTCGAAGGTCACCACGTGATGCTGCAGACATGCTGTGGTTCACCCGCATACGCAGCCCCTGAACTCATCGCCGGCGAAGAGTACGTAGGCGTAAAGGCCGATATGTGGTCTCTGGGTGTGCTCATGTACGCTCTGCTGTGTGGATTCCTTCCATTCGATCACGATAACATTACCATCTTGTACGAGATGATTACCAGCGCAAAGTACGAAGTACCCGATTGGGTGTCTCCCGAAAGCGCTGATCTGATCGCTCAGTTGCTGCGACCAACTCCCAGCGAGCGCTTGAGTATCGAAGACCTACTCGCTCATCCCTGGATGAACAAAGGGTACGAAAACGAGCCTAAGCTCACCAGCGCCAGTACAGTGAAGACCGCCCTAGACAGCGATGTGTTGCTGGAGATGTCATCGTACATCTGCAAGCCCGTGGATGCCATCACCGAGTATCTGCAGACGAACAAATTCGGGCCTGTGTCCACCCTATATGCACTCTTGAACATCAAGAAGACCCGCGGCGAATGGCCTCCCATATACCCCGGCGCCAAGAACAAACTCGACACTAGTACAACGTCATCCCCCGCGCCTGTCAAGGCTGCTAGTAGTAGTGCGTCTAGGCCCACCCACGCGGCAAGTGCGTCTGTGGATAATATAGACATGGCTGGTTCTGCACCTCACCTGTACACACAGGCGAGTGTGGGTAGCACGTCTCTACGCAATCCCAGCAACGAAGTCGGTTCGATACCTCTGACCCAGAGCACATGCAAACCGGTACGAAGTCACTCAACAGACGCAGGAGAGTACCTTCGACACGGTACGGGCGAGACTATTGATATGGCTGGCTTTGAAGCGGCACAGTCTCCCGGACCTACGCCTATGGACACGAGCAACTCTCCGCCCAGCTACACTCACGCACACTCAATGCAGGGGTCCCCAGTCACTACGGGACACTACCAGAAGCACAGTTTGGATAATAAGTACGACTATCTGGCCCAGACTGGGAGCAACGGCGCGAGCATGTTTGCGTCGCACTCAGACGATGTATTCAGTACACGTGCCCCCGCAGATCCCATGGAGCTCAGTGAAGAAGACCCGCACTCGCGTAGGAGCAATGATGACATGTCCACACCTACCAATGCGGGCAAGTTCAGCTTCGATCAGCTTACGTTTACTATTAAGAACGCGCTGGGTGGTGGCAACAAAGCTGGTAACAACGGTGCCGGTAGCAGCCAAAATAACGGCTCGTCCAATGATCCCACATCGCCCAAGAAGGACCCCATGGCGTAAGTATCTGTGATGATACTCTTTTGCCTTTTTAGCTGTGCGTGATTCAACTGTGCTTTAGATCTGTGTGGGTGTGCTTGTGAGTGTCGAATGTGTGTTCGATCAGAATGGTAGGATCCGTTGTATCAACTCATTTACCCCACGGCCTGATCTGGCTTTCCTTGTCTTGTTAGCATCCTTTATGACCGCAAGTGCTGGGCCATAACTAATATTTTTTCAACCACATTGCTCAGATACCTACCTATCTCTGTGAGTGGTATGTTCACCGTGGATTCTACCTCCGGTAAAGCGGCCAAGGATGTTCTGCACGAGATCATCCGTGTGTTGATTCATAACGAGATTCACTTTGCGCAGAAAGAGCCCTTCCTTCTCGGCTGCAAGAAGCAGGAGGGTGGCAAGTCGATCGTGTGGGATATGGAGGTGAGTATGTTTTTGTGCTGTGTCTATGCGTAAAAGTTTGCGCTGTATGAAAGTACGTTGAATATATGTCATCGTTTCGGTTCCTTAATGTGGAAATACCAATGTTCCTACCTGCAGAAATACTGTCTCCTGCTTCAGTGTGGCGTTACTATTTGATACTAGAGAGACTGTCAATTTGAGTACAGAAAGGAAGTGTCACAAAATTTCTCCAATATCTGAATCTCAAAGAGTCAATTCTCACCCGGTCCACCCTTCTTCTCTCCAATGCAGATTTGCCATATCGAGAAACTCAACCTACGAGGCATCAAGTTCAAACGCACAAAGGGGGAGTTTATGAAGTATAAAGGGCTTGTAGCCACTATACTTGCACAAGCTAATCTGTAAGTCCAGTAGCCGGTACAAAATTAATCTCTACGTCTAGTAGTCGATACAGTATTAGACAGAGCGACGCGACCACAGCAGTCAAGTAGGGTATGATTGCTGGTAGTTTGGAGAATAAGGGTTCGAAGAGCGCCCACTCTACCAGCTTATTCCGAGCATTTAGGTATCACTGTAGTAGTGACGGTATTCAAGCATGCTTTGTGTGGAGCATTTGAACACGCTTTTTGGAGTTTACATGTATACCAAACATTGTGTCAAGAACAGTCAGACTCAAAGACTGTTTGGCGTGGATGGCTATGCATAGTAACAACGACCGGCTACTTGTAGTAGCGTGTCCGCGAGATGATCCTCACATTTTAGAAATAAGGGACACCAAATAGCTACACCGGCGTGGATGGTTATGCAGACTGATAACGACAGGTTACTAACAGTAACGTGTCTGCGAGACAATCCTCATAATTAGAGATAGAGACAGCAACGAGCTACAGTAATCCATACTAGCGGGTCGCCCCACCCAGGACGACATGGCAAGTGCGCGTAGAGTGTCTGTATGACGATGTTGTACAGTTCCCTATCCCTATAGTGTAGTATAATGTTGGTCTGCGAATTGAAGTAGTCTTATCGACAGTATGTGTTCGACACACGTACGATCCCCCACTTTGACGGGAAACCCTTCTTTGGTAAATAGTTAACGTTCTCTTAAGGACGTCACGCGACAGTTTTAGTGGGATAATATGGGCCGGGGTCAGTCGTCAGTGCGCCGCACACTCCTGTGTGAGGGTTCAAGTGCTGACCTTGCACTTGCAGTGCTAGTGTTGCACAGCATTTGATTGTTGGTCTCTTGCGTTTACGCCCATCCATCTTGTTTGATGACAAGAGTTTTCTAATAAAGAACAATGCGGAAAGTTTGGTTGTAGCAGCCACATATCGCTGTTATTCGAATTGTACCAGCAGGCTATATATTGGGAAGCAGCTCTGTATTCAATGCTGTGAGCCTACCGCGGCAACTGTAGTGGTAGACATATCTTGGAACAGTTGTAGGGGTGGTTAAGTCTCCGATTCTATTAGGTTCCAAAAGAAAGAGCTATGTATTGAATGCTTTGTTCCCTAGAATCTAAGCGAATTTAGCTGGCAGTGTCAAACTATCATTGAATGCCTTGTTCCATAGTTTGAAACTGCCAGCTAATTTCTCTCCGATTACAATTATGGCAGTTAAATTCGCTCTAATTCCAATTTATTGAGGATTGCTTACAAATTACGGTTGCTGTTCGGTGTAAATATACAATATACAAGCTTCGATATAATACCTTTAATATATTTCATTTTGACTTTGTTTTAGGTTTCTTGACCTACTACCTATTACTTATTGTATTAGCTTAATCTATTACCTATTTCCTATTTTGATTAGCTTTATTTACTACCTTTAACCAATTTGAACAATACCGGTTATTGTATGGTACTGTATTTGATGGTGGTAACAAATGAACAGTTTTTTCTCGTTCTGTAACGACTTAGGGTTAGATATAGTCTATGTGACCGTCTTGGAACGGTTTATGTGACCGTCTTGGAGAACTCTACACCGCCTTCCAGCCGCCAATCCCATGTACTGCCGGTGCATAGAATATCATTCTCCCACTAATCTAAGAACTTGGATACACTGGACGTTACAGGTACAGTGTCATATTACAACCCCAACTTGGCGCTATTGACTGATATTGATGTCATCGACACGCTTGATAAGCATGATAGAGATCGCATTCAATACTGAAGCAGCAGAATGTCGCAAACACGCCGATTCTTCAGCATACCGATGCAGATAAAACTAATATCATAATACTTCCGAACCCACGACTAAAAATTGCCTGCCTCCACCTCCATGGCGTGAATAATCCCAGGTGTGCTGACCCCTGCATCGCTGGCTGCGTATACGATTCTCTGCACTTCGTCAGGTTCAAACTCGTGCAAACGCGAGGCCACACATGCGTCTATGGCCTTATAAAACCTCTCTGTAGTGACCCCTTCTGCCACCATCAATTCCACCAACGATACCAGTTTGGACGCGGGCTGTACTGTATGCAGCGAGCCGATCTCGCGCTCAGCATGGTTCTTACTAGCCTCCTCGTGGCTCGTACCATCACCGAGGCGTATACTTGCGAGAATAATTTGTGTGCTTGGATGCAATCGGGACGATATCCTGCGTGCATCTGCATTCAGATCTCCAGGTTCTATAGCTGGGTCAGATCTGCTTTTGTCCTCTGTGTGTGCAGCCGCAAAGCGTGACGCAATTGCACGCAGCAAAGCCATACGCCTGTTCGCGTGTTCGCTGAACATAGTCATCGCCAGTGCCACACGGAACAGACTCTCGCCAGACAAGTTACGGAGATTCCTCTCAAGCAAATTGATAGCACACTTCAACGGTTGCTCGCCCATGGGGAAGCCCGCATTCGCATAGCTGACGACCACATTAGTCATATCCTCACCGGATAGACTGTTACGGGATGCAAGTATACTTTGAGCCAGACGCCCGTACAGATCCTCGTTGGCTATACCCAGATGTGTACATGCGGCCAAAAGTTTGTGCAGATTCTGGCCCGTATAGTGATTTGGCATGGCGCATATGTGAGCTATAGCGGTGATGAAAAAAGGTTCCACACGCGCACACATGTCCGAGTGTTTCTGCCATCGATTCACGCACAGCTTGGTGAAGGCTTCCATCACATCGACCACTTGTGTGGGCGAGAAATCCGGCATGCGGTAGGCGGCCATGTGCGATAAACCCGTAAATACGTCATCAACATGCGCAGAATTGAAAGGAAGCTCGTGTGCTGCGTCTCCTAAAACAGATATAATCGTGCGCAGATCGTTCGGGTGGGGCGAAGATAACAGGCGCGTGCCATCTCCCGCATATAACTCCGTTCTATCCAGACGCAGTTTCAGATAGTCGCGCTGCTCTGCAGAATACTGTGAAAGCGGTAGGGATGCGTGTGGACTTGCGAATGTCTGTTGAACTTTTCTGCGGTAGTTGTGATACGCCCTGGTGTATGTCAGCCGCTCCGATTCCTCTCCGTCTTTATCCTGTACCATGTCTTCTGCATCCCCCTCACTCTCGTAAATAGCTACGCTCGATACTCTTTCTCGGGTGGCAGTATTCTCTAATAACGATACTGTCGCATGGTTATCTGTACTCTCAAATACTTTTGACAGTCGCTCACCAACCCCGAGCGGTAGCACAGGCGTGCGTTTCGCATCATACGGTGTTCCAAACAATTGTTTGCGATGCCGTAGTAACCGCTTGGGCGTATCTTTGACCTTTCGCAGCACTGACATCTCCTCCCACCATGTCCCAGGCTGTGAGTACAGCTTGTGCACAATCATAGATAGCACGCTTTCATCCCGCTTCGTGAACCCAGCAACAAACCTAAAGTGCCTGCAATCTTCGTCGGACATCCCGGTAAGAATTTTATCTTGAAACCGGTACACCTCCGCAATTGACGCGAGCAGATAGCTGTCACTCTCTGCCATCGATCGTGCGCTCAACTTGTGCACGACATGCATCAGCATTGCTCGTGCTTGAGTGCTCTCCTGTGTGCTATCCCGACTTCCAATAGAGCCGCGTTGCTCAACACTGCTACCCAGCTCAGCCTCGTGGACGGTCCGTTGTACTCTCATCGACAAGGAAACGGTCGCCATATATTCTTCCAGCAACTCCATGGTACGTGTGCTGTCTTTTTTGTAATCATTCAACATCAAATGGCCTTTATCAGCCAGTTGTTTTTGTGCCACAGTACACCATAAGCTGAACACGGAATACAACCCGCGCATATCCACATCATGCTTTGCAACCTTCGGAGCATAGCCCACCGGCATGTTCCGTGGGAGTCTAGTATTTCTATCACCCGTTGACTGAGTGCGAAGCTGTGCACTCTTGAGCTGCACCAACAAAGGTTCAGCCATACACGCAGTCGCACTCATCATCGCATGTAACTGCTTATCCGTGAATGTGCCAACATTCGCGGTGGCACACTTTAATATGTCGCCCATAAACTGAGCTCGTACACCCAGCGTCCCCGGATCGAGGTGTGTCTGTAGTACATCGAGAGAAGACGCACATGCGTGTGCAACTGTCACCAGTCCTTGGTTATCCAAGTCAGGCAGACGCGGTCTGGCATACACAAATACTGCATCCATAGCACCCCGTCCCAAATGCAACAGGCGCGGTAGAGTCGCAATCGTATCGACCAGATGCCCCAAATGACTGGCTGTGTGCGTACTCGCAGGAACCTGCCACTGTTGCAAGCTTAGCGCTTGCTTCCCATACTGTGCGTCTACGTCCACCAACAAACCTACACCAACCTTCACCTTGGACGTCAGCCTCTTTACCATCGACTCAACCAAGTTGATCGAATACGGCCCGCGGGGATACCGCTCAATCGCGCGTCGCCATAGCAACGACGCTTCCCCTGCATACTTGATACCCGGAACACTCTCGAGACGCACATGATGGCTCATCAAAATATCGCGTATCCTAGAAAATTCTCGGCTCTTGTATCCAGGATCCAAGCCACTTTCTGCCATCTGCGCCAAACGCCATCCACAAGCCATTATCGCGTGTGTGCCTTCTATGGGAGGCTGTATAATCCGCAGAGGGCGTGTATGTGCTGCCACAGGATCGCCGCGTGTGTCCAGAATTCCGTCAACCAAGGGCAATAAATCGTAAATGTGCTGTGGGTGCCTGGTTTTGGGATGAGTCACTAGGTTGAAGACCTCCTTCCACTTTTGTATTTCAAGATCCTCCTCGTTCACGGTATTATCTTTCTTGCTCGGTACACGAATTTGCTTGTGCTTCTGCAAGTGAGTGGCTGCGTTTGTATGAGTAGGCTGATGTACGTTTAACCTGACCCTGTGTGCCACAGATTGCTGTTGCCCAGTGTGTATGGGCAAGCTCTCTTGTGCGCGCTGGAGGTCTGCTGTGAGTTTACTCTGCCGCACAGTGATGACACCGCCGTTATTTCCCGAACACTCTGTGACCAGCGTCTCCCGTCTGTTTTGATGCGGGTTGTCCGGTTTTGGCTTGGCGCTCTCAGGTGTCCTCACAGATACTCTGGTCGCCCCTATTGTCTCCGGCGCACTAATAACTGTATCAAATCCCACCTCACCTCCAACGTTCTTGCTCAGCCCTTGTCCCGGTCGCACGTGGTGCATGCCCTCCTTTGAATACAGCGCTTGCTGTCTTATATTCGTCTGTTGTCCAAACTGTGCTTTAGTCTGTGCTGTACCATCGTTTGGTTCTGCTCGAAGCTTTGCTTGCGACTCCGTCCTGCTTTTTCTCCGCGACTCCGCGTTCAGAACTTTCTGCACCTCTTCACCAATACTTCTCCTCGCATCGGTCCCTGTCATTTTCTGCACTTCACATGTGTTGACAGCATTTTGCGTGGGCTTGTAAGATGGTGCTGATAGCCGGTGTTGTGATAGCGTCGGAGTTTGCGCTTGTACACTTGTCTTTGTAGATGTCTGTAGCGTCAGTTGTGGTTGGACGTGTGACCTCGTCTGTGGTCGTATCGGTGAACTATCTTCACCAAAGGCTTCTACTTTTGCCGATATATTTGGTTGGTGTTTGACCTGAAAAATTGCCTCTACTTCTGTCTGCGTAAGTGGTTTGAGTGTCTGTTGAGGCTTTGTTTGGGGTGTAAATGTATACTGTGTCTGCACCCCTGTCTGTATGATCGCTTCGGGCGACATGTCTATACTTATACTGTGCAAAGAGCTATGTGTTTCTCTTACAAACTTCCTTATACTATCCTTATTCGTGGGCGTATTGAGGATTGGCGCCAAACTTGTTACTGTAAGCTCCTTCGATCTGACAAATTGGTTGAGTTCACCGCCAGGCCCTCCTTGTCCTCCCACACCACTGAGGTTGCTCGCACACTCATTCCGAACACTTAATTCTGTGCTCGCATTGGGCTTCATCTCATGTATCCTATGAGTTGCCGTAGCATTCCTACTTACTCCCAACAATGCACATTCTGCCAACCTCTCCCTCTCGAGCTTTTCCGTATATTGTTGTGTTCTCTGTATGCCTCTTAGTCGTAACCTCTCTTTTCTGGATAACTTTGGTGGCGTGTCTGTTTGCCTACTCGTCGGCTGTTTAAATTGTGTGGGTGTTGCTTTGTTGAACTGTGTCCATGTCCCTGGTGTTGATTGTCTGTTGGACTGTTCTTTCAACTGTGTTTGTTGCCTAGATACTAACTGACAACCATCATGTGGCTTTGGCTGATTTACTACTGGATGTGGCTGTTCCTTCGATGTGACTTGTATGTGTCTGTCGGGCAACGCACTCGCGCGAGTGCTCGTCGGACTCAAACGACCTGGCACATGTCCCTCTACCTTGACCTCGCCATACGTACGTAAAGATGGCGACGTGATAATCTGAGGTTTCCCTTGTGATTGGGCTCGTGGCCCTGACCGCCAACGTCTTGGTTGCTCACCTTCCATCCCACTCGTGCTTATCTCGATGCTCTTGGGTTTATGTGTACCTGTGTGCGTCTGTGAGTGTAATTCCAGTGTGTGTGAGTTCGGGGGCAGACGGCCTTGCGCTTCATACTGCAATTCAACCTTACGACTGCTTCTACCATTGTCAGTACTTTGTCCTGAGCCGTAGGTGCAAGCGGTATTGTATCGCATACTCGATCCCTTATATGTATTGGATACACCCCCTTGTCCGGGCGGGAGTGCCGCACTGTCTGCAATTGCGTCTTTTTTGGCACTGCGAAGCGCTTCACCAATATCGTTGAGTCTTATATACTGCCTAAGTGGTGGTGTGCGTGGTCTGCTTCGAGAATATCTCAGATTTAACTGACTGAGTGTTGGATCCAGGCTCACTTCTTCCCAGCCCGCCTCTATCACTATCGTGTTGCTTGTTGTACTATCTGTGCGAATTAACTGTCCATCTGTGCGGACAGGTCTCCCGCTACTGCCACCTTTACCCTCATTCATAACACCCACTTCCCTATCCCTTCCTTCTGCCATAATGACTGTTTTCGTCTGTGGAGCCTCTGTATATGTCCGCTTATCTACCTTTTCCGGCGCAGCTGCTTGCTTCTTGAGTGGCATATCCTTGAGAGTCTGTATAGTCGACTCTATCCGCTTTCCCTTCTGTCGCTGGCTTGCTTGTACATGTGTGCGCACAGTCTTGTGATCGTCTTCCAGCACAGCCACGGCACACCTCCGCCGCCGTTGTGCATGCGTGCGTATGCGTGACATGATGTCAATGAAAGACACCCCCGTGTGCAACCCCCGTCTCTCTACTAACATGGCAGTAGATGCACTTGTGTAGCGTACAGCGTTCAAAAATGAGTTTGAGTATGTACTATCGTGTGTGTGTTTGGAAGTCAGTCTACACACATACTCATTGTGTTTGAAACTAGTACTAATATTCGTTAACATACGCTGTGCCTTCCACCCGATACCGGTCTTGCGTTGTGCGTGGTGCGTTGGTCTCTGTGAAGGCATAGACGTCTTCTGAGAAGCTCGCAGAATCATTACCCTACCAATATACCCAATACACAAGTTATATGCCGTCTGCGTGTGTATGTAAGTGTGTATAGATCGGCTAGATATACAAACACCAACATCTGTCTTGCTACAACACAGTAATTTACGTGGTGTGTGTGCTAGTCTCTTCGTCACTTTACAAGCACCATATCGACGTGTATCCACGCCGCGACGTACAGCATTAATACTACTATGCTGATTACGTGTATGGTTGTGTATATAGTATGCCAACGTGTCAGTGTGATGCGCATGTGCTATCGTGTGCGTACCCCTCGGCACCTTAGCAACCCCTCTAAAGCGTATACGCTTGTACATTTCTATGAACACCCCGAGTGCACGAGAAGTTATACTGCTATTCCTGTATTCAATACATCTATACTGGCTGGTAGCTTGAGTATGTATATATTTACGTGCCTCTAAGTTACGGAAGTATGCTGGTGTTGCTCGCTGCATTGTGCTGACTATTACTTTTCGACGCTGTTTCCGTGCTAGATGATCACCTCACCATCCCGACGTATGCCAAACGAGAGACCCTTCCGATGCACATGTAGCGCTTGCCACAGTACAAACACTATCGACCTATATCGCACTTACATCCCACACACGTAGCTGTGTGGCGTATACATAGTCTATCGTGTGACATGTATTTATCGTACTTCAATAAGTTGCATACCATATTTTTAGTATACTTGGTTACAATATTACCGGTTAAATAGTGTAAAAGGCGGGCTTTTACAGTGAGCTCATGTGTTTTTTTGCAACAAAAGTGCATTCACATGGCTGCCGGCCTTTTGATCTCTCCACGGTATGTATTGAACTTACTGTGTGTCTATAATTATTAAATTATTTTAATATATAAATAGCGAGTATGTATATGTTACTAGGGCTGCCTAGAGTGTATTCACTGTTCACCGTGTTATATACATGTTAGATAGCAGACAGATGCAGAACAACAGCGGCCAATATACATACCGATTGCTCCTTCTCGTACAACAACTTCCCGTATACACAAATACGCACACCGCATTGACATAATATTTACGCAGTTATACACAGAAATGACCGCCCAAGCAACACACCCTGCGCTGCAGTTTAACATCAAAGCCAAGTGTTCCACTACTAAGGCCAGATGTGCAGATCTGGTCCTACCCCATTCGGTGGTAGAAACGCCTGTGTTTATGCCCGTGGGAACACAGGGGACTATGAAGGGCATTACATTTAAACAGTTGGAGGTATGTACAGTATAAGAGTGTATTGGTAGCGTGTTTAACAATGAATAGTATAGGGTTTGCCCGCGCGGCGGACTCAGCGAGTGTAATTTATTGAAACAGCCACAGCGATACAAGTAGGTTCTAGAGTCAAGCTGTGTGGAGAGGGTCACAAAATGGACACAAATTTGTGCACGTGTATGCTATTTTCAAGGCAGTTGAATTGACAACATCGTGCGTTGATTGCACGATTATTATTATTATTATCATTAATTCATTAATATTATTAATATATATATATATATATATATATATATATATATATATTGTGTGTGTGTGTGTGTNTGTTGTNTTGTTCGTCGTGTG